ATCGCGGATCGCAATACCGTCAATAAATATTGAACGTGTAGCACTTTCAAAACGCGATCCATATATTTCTTCAGTACATCTTTTACTCTCATAATGTAAACATCGGCTCTGCCTTCACTCTCGGGGCTTAAAATCTTTCAAAACAAATTGAACAAATCTTAAAATAATTGTGGAATGCATTATCTGTAAATTATACGTACAAAATAAAGATATTTTCTTGCGTCATAATAAGCGTTCAGCAAAAAAAAAAAATGCAAATACTGACGCGATAAATATTGAACATGTAGCATTCGTGCGCGATCCATCAATCCATCAATATGGATCGCGATCCAAATATCGTGATAATTACTGACCGTGGGACAGAGCCCTTTGAGTAAGCGTATTACGGGTGATGGCAGCCATGTACTTAATAAAAGCAATTAGCAACGTTGAACATAGGCGATTTCCATGACGTAGTTACAGTATTTCAATACGACTTAAGGTGAGTGTAAGTATTATCTGCGCGTAAACAGCAAATCTATTATGGCATTGGAAGGAAATGTAATTAAATTCAAAAAACCTCCCATTGAAATGTTAACAATGTAGCAGTTTAGATGAACACTGGGTTTTTCTTGTAATTTTAACAAGCATTAAGTCAGTTCCAGGTATTTCAGGATTTGCAGGTTTTACAAGTAAAGCGGTTTTCGCCATTAATAAACCTTATGGAAGGTGGCGTACGTTAACAGCTTCCTGTAAAAACCTGCAAATCATGAAGTACCTGTAACATACTTATTAAAAAAGAGAAACATCGGAAAATATCGATGTATCGATAGTTTTAGGGCGATTTTTTTCGGCATCGATGTTGGCTCTGAAAATTTGCATCCCTAAATATGAGATGATAATGGGACCGCTCAAAAAGTAATTGTACAAATTATTTAAATAATCGGTACATATTGTGCTACTTGTGCCGATAGTGGGATCTTAGCTTGACACTGAGAAAGGAGTTTAGTTACGTCAGCGAAATATGTTTTCCTTAAATATGAGAGAAATATATTTAGCTTACTTTTTTCTGAGCGTACTACAAGTTCAAGGCCTTTACAAACAGTCAGAAAAAATCGCTTGATCCAGAAGTAAGAGACATGGTTTTACTTGAGAATTTTGAACATACACAAACTGAATCTGGTGCTGCTGAATACGAATTAAACTTACATCATGCAGTCTACCGTTTTCTCATTCTTTCCATTTTAAGTAACACAGTGCTACACAAAAAATTAGCACTTCATATAGAAATTGTGTTTTGTTATAGCCCATAGGATACGACTATGTTTATAGTTTTTCTCCATCACTTCGTTTACTACTTTTTTATTAACAAATATAATAAATATTTGGTATTCTTCAAGTTACAACTTCAAGAAGTTATAACTTTGTTGTTTTTGATGGAATTAAAACTTTGTTCTCTCTGTTTGAAAGACATGGGTTTTCCTTTCTATCAAAGAAAAAGTTTGAAAATCGGCTGTAGAAGGGCTTAGTATTGCTCTTTTAATTGAAGAAATACGTAAATTTTTCAAAAAGTGAGGCAATAAAAGAAATTGTTTGATTTCCTTTTTGGTTGTTGTTGTTTCCGACATTTTTCCGAATTGTTTGATCTTTATAATAAAAAAGTACAAAAAGTCAGTTTTCCAAAAGTCATAAGTGAATTAAAATCGAATAAGAAGTCGCTTAGTAAAGCTTTATGTAGTGATAATAAGTATGTCCGTGTTTTCATTTTGTTTGTTTGTTTTTGTTCATTTTATTTATTTATTTATTTAATAGAAATATAATTATCAATAATTATATTACAGTATAAAGGCACTAGCAACAAAGGCTATCGGCCTGTTTTGTTCATTTAATACCGTTTTCGATTACGTACGTATATTTGAGCCATTCTTTTTTAAGTCGGACGGATTTCGTAAAAAAAAATTATGTCATGTCTCCGATTCGCTTAAAATTTTTCTATTTTTTTATACCAGACCGCACTTGTGCACAAGGCTATTACAACTTTGTTCACATAACGGTTGTTTGTAACTGGCAAAACGAATCAAGATATATATAGACAAATGTATACATAAATGATCAGAATGAAAATAGATATCGCTTAAGCGGTCCGTCCGCCTGTGCACACGATAACTCGAGTGAACATTGAGATATCTTAACGAAACTTGCTACGTGCACTTCCTTCGGGCGTAGGACGAAAGGTATTGAAAATGGGCAAAATAGGACAATAACCACGCCTACCTCCCATATAACGGTAATTTTCAAAAATACGAAAACTGCGATATTTTAGTAACTACTTAAGATTATTCATTCAAAATTGATATTTACAAAAATTTTTAGATGAAAAATAAGAATATTATAAATTTTTGGAAAATGGGCCTTGCCACGCCCATTTATGGTTACATGTGTATATCTTGGTAACCGCTGCACCAATTTCTTCCAAACTTGCCACAGTTGTTAACCTTGGTATAACATACGAAATGGCCGAAAATTTTTAAAATCGGAAAATAACCACGCCCACATCCCATATAACGGTAATTTAGAGAAATACAAAATCTTCGAAACATGAGTAAATATTAAAGCTAATTTATTCAAAATTGATGCTTGCAACAATTCTTAACCAAGAAATATGTTTGTGATAAAATTTTGGAAAATGGGCGTGGCACCGCCCACTTATGATCACATATATGTATCTCGGTAACCGTTCTACCAATTTGTACCAAACTCGGTATGGTTATTGTGCTTGCAACATAGAAGCAAAGCGTTGAAAATGATTGAAATCGCAATGAAATTGAGGCCGCTTTTAATATAACGGTAAATTTCAGAACTGCTTGAAACTTCAAAATTTCGAAATTTAAGGACTCCAATTTACTCAAAATTGATACGCCCCAGCTTACCATGTAGCGGAAGGTTTCGGAAAGGTGAAAAACATATATTTAATACTTGCGCCGGGTATTTAATGTTCGGCTCCGCCGGAACTTAGACTTTCTTACTTGTTTTTTATTTAGTTTATTTCAAGGATTGGACGGAATTCGAAATTTTCATATTTCCAGTAATATTAATGCATCGATTTAGTTGAAACTTTTTTACTATTATTAAAAACTAGCAATTACCCGGCGTGCTTCGCTGCGCCTTAAATGTATTTTTGTGTTGTAACTCTCTCCCAAAACTCGTATGGCGTCATTTATAAAATATATTAAAAGAGCTTTATGTAGTAAGATTTTCAAAAAAAAACTTCGATCTATGAAGCATTGTTTATTTTTTTTTTTGAGTGTGGGAGTTAGTTAATACATATCGTCAGTAGACACGAATAAAGGCGCGCTAGTGTATGTTCTTATGGACAGCAATGTTTTCATGTATGTACATATGTTTGAATGGTTGTATATATATTTGTACGTATGTACATATGTTTGTGTACATGTATATATGCACATATGTTGTACAAACGAAAACAAATCTAATAAGCTACTCGTTGATATAAATGCGAACTGTTCTGATTGCCAAAAATTATGTGTTTGTTGTACATTTGTTCAAGTTTGTCATTGTGCGTGTAATTTTCAAGAGTACTTTTGTACTCTCGCTATCTCCTTGTATTAACTCGTCCTTCGTTGGTATACTCTGATGAACATATGTGAGGATGATAGAGGGGCCAACTTATATAAGGTAGTGTTACAGGAGCAGTTGAAATTTTCGCCCGATGTTTCTTAAAGAAAGCCATAAACTTAGCGACCGTTGATTCAACTTCGTGTTATTTTGCTCTAGATTGCACCCTTTGTGGGCCTGTTGAATGAATTTATGTTTTGGTTGTATGAAAGATCAAAAAATTTGGATTTTCTGCCAAGTTGTACAACTTATCGCTACATTAATGGCCGTGTTGTACAAACTCATTTAATTGGATAAATGGATAACTCAGCCGAAATAGGTACGTGCTTTCGTTGCATTTTATAAATGTAAGCCAAAACTATGAAATTGTAAAAATGAGATTTTGCAATGAGACTGCTCGCAAAATTGCAATGTTTGTGGACAAAACGTCCAACTTGATTGTCGATTGATCTGAATGATTGTCAAAAGCATGTGTTTGTTGTAATTTACTCTGTCAGTTACTACCATTATGCGTAGGCCAATTCCCGAAATCATTTCATGCGTTTGAGTAGAAACTGAATGAATGAACACCATTTCATGATTACAATTAATGCATAATAGAGTTTATGTATTTAGTTTTTACTCAGATCGATAAAATGATTTCGTGAATTGGACTACACATCCACGTGATACTATGCTTTTAATTTATAAGGTAATTTTATGTTTTTGTAATCTTGCTACCACATGAATATATAAATTCGCGATAAGAATATATGAATTCGCCTTGCAAGATAGAAAGCGGGTAAGAATAACTGCCGAACAAAGGACTTTTTCTTCTTTCAACTTAAATAAATGCGTTTTGCAAACCAATGTGCGTACGTTACTTAGTGCCTTGGTAATGGCGAATTCGTAAGGATCTATTGATTGCATTATAACGTTTTCATTTATTTGTTAAACATACAATTACTTCCATTTGTCAGCAATCTGGCAACCACGCAAATGAAACGAACAACGAACCGACTAGCATAGCCGAGGGAGTAGTCAATTGTCAGCGTTCGTCACATGCAGATGCTTTGTGAAGTTTAAATGAGTAATCTCTGTAACAACTACTTGAATAAATTTTATTTGTTAAACTATATTAAACTAAACTAAAGAGGCCTTCTGACAGCCTCAAAAGTGATATGTAATCCACCCCTCGTGAAATAGTGTGGAAGTGTCATTTTAATATAAATTCTAACAGTGCGTGTGTTAGTGCAGAAATTGAGACTACGCTGACCGTGTTCGGGGAAATCGGGGCTCCTCTCAGAAATTTATGATGTTTGAAATAATATACAAAGTGCCTGCGAGTGGATACAGGCTGGTTGTAAAACTATGGTTTCGGGATAATTAACTCAGTTAATAAAAGTTCAGGTTGTACCATTAAATGCTTTTAAGTTACTTATAATATGTTTTACAAATTCTGTGAATGATTTGATGAGGGAAGATTGCTTTGCTATCGCATTCAAGTCGAAGTCTGGGACTTCGTGTTGCTGGCATGATCTTCTGTGGTGATATCTGGCGCAATCATAACGAGGGCAGTCTTGGAGTAGGTGGCGCATTGTTTGCGGGGCTCGATTATCGCATGGACAGGTGTCTTCATTGATAATAGTAAATCGTTTCAAATAAGTTTTGTTGAACCCATGACCAGTAAAAAGCTGTGTCATTTCAAATGATATTCCGAATATTTCACGGTATAGTTTCGCATCGTCAATCGTTGGGAAGAAATGTTTAGTGCTAGAGCCAGTTGTTTCTTCGGTGTATTCACGCTGCCATTCTACGAGCATCTCTAACTGTATTAACCGCTTGGGATAGCATATCGGGTATGCGGCGTATGAGAATTCAGCTGTTGTACTTGCGGCTTCTTTTGCGTGCTGGTCGGCAAGCTCATTTCCTTCAATACCGACGTGTGATTTGTCCCAGTAGAATTTTACTTCATGGCTTTGACGAAGACCGTGTAAACGCCGGTGAATCGAGACAACGAGAGGCATAGAATTGCTACGATCTCGGATAGCTTCGCGACACGATCTACTGTCGCTATATAGATACAGATTACGCGTTTTAAGTCTGTTTTGGGCCCATTCCAATGCGGAGTCAATTGCAAGGGCCTCAGCCTGGTAAACAGAGCCGGCAGTGTGTAGGGTGAGCTTGAAAGGCTCTCAAACTGCATCTGAATGACGGATGACAAACGCCGCGCCGAATCCTTCATTTTGTAGTTTGCTTCCATCAGTATATATCTGTGTGGCGTCATTGATACTAATGGACTCTAATAGCTCCTGCGACTCTATGCATTCATATACAATTGTTTGCCTTTGTGCCGGATGCAATTGATCTCGAGGCGGAACACGGGGCTGAAGAGTCGCTTGGTCAGATATTTCATGATACGATAGCGTTGCTTTCACATTCTCTATCTGGGTGATTTCATTAATCTTCAAATGAAGTGGAATGAAGCCTGTAAGAGCCAGGGCTGATGTGGCCGATACTGTGTGGAACGATCGTATGGCTCGTATGGCAAAGTTTCGTTGGAACGATCGCAAAAGTCGACGAATATAAACGTATTTTATGGCTCTTCCCCATATACCCGCAGCGTACGTAATAGTGGGTTCCACCACTTGCCTGTAGATTGTTATAACGTTCTCAGGATGCACACCCCAAGTGGGCCTTACGTACTTGCACAGGTTGTCATAGATTCGTTGGACCTTTGCTAATACATATTTTACGTGATTGGTGAATTTTAGCCGCTCGTCGATAACAACGCCAAGAAATTTTATTTCTTTAACAAACGTAAGCTGTCTACCGTTTAGATTAATCTCAGCACACCGCGCATTCCAATAAATGCCATAACTTGTGTTTTCGTGTCAGAAAATGTTAGTTTTACCTCAACTCCCCAAGCATGTATAAGCTGCAGTGAATCGTTGGCATGCTGCTGGAGCTCCTCTACAGTTTTTGCGCTAACTATAAGAAGCACATCATCAGCAAAAGCTTAAATTTCACATCCTGCGGCAAGTGGCATAGTTAAAAGCTCATCTATAATAATGTTCCAGAAGGTAGGACCACATACCGATTCTTGGATGTAGCCCTTTGTCATCATCTTAGTGGCCGTTGCTTCCGCATAATCAATTGTAACTTCCCGGTTTTCTAAATAACTACCGATAAGCTTGTAAATATTAGACGGCGTATGAATTCGTTCTAATTTGTTCTGAAGTGCGGGCCACCAAGCGTTGTCGAATGCTGCTGTGATGTCAAGCGATATACAAATAACTTGACGGGATTTCCGTTTCTGTGTCTCGATATGATTAATGGCATGACGAAGGGCATCTACAGTGGATGTTTGTTCTTTAAAACCAAACTGCTTTGGAGACCAGTAATGGCGTTTTTCAGCGTGATATATGAGCCGTTTGATAAAGAGCTTTTCTAGCACCTTTTCAAAAACTGGTAGAAGCGCTATAGTCCGGTAGAATCCCAGTTCGTGAATGTTAGTCCTATTGGCTTTAGGCAAGATTTTTACAAATGCCTTTTTCCACGCTTTTGGAAAATACCCTATACGTAGAGATGCGCTGAAAAGATGAGTCAAAAAGTTAGTGTATTTACGCGCAAAAGCTAGGCATATATGTGACGTTAAATTGTCCAAACCAGGGGCTCTGTTAGCGTTCATTGTCGACAGTGCTTCGATAACTTCTTCCTCAGTAAAGTCTTCATCATCATGAGTTTCAATGATGGTTTAAACTCGGCTCCGTAGGTCACGTTGGCGAAAGGTGTTGTCGGGGGTGTCATCGGGGTAGAGAAGTTGCAGTAATGCCGGATCAACGTTTATGTTGGCAACCTCGTCCGATGTGTAGTGTGCGCGAAATAGTTGAACTCATGCCAGCCTTTAACCCGCTTTCCAATACATCATTGAATGCGACTCAATACGTGCAACGTGTGGAAATGTTGAGAAATGCATACGGTATCGACGACGGTATTTTACTTTGTGCAGTGCAGCAGAAATTACAAGGGCCTGCTAGACAGTGGGTCGATTCGTTGTCGATCGTATATACTACGTGGTCCGAGTTTTCAAATCGTGACTTCCCGTGTATACATAGTATCGCTGATGTGCATATAAAAATGTCTGCGATGAAAAGAGGTGTTAGCGAAACACCTCAAGAATTTTATTATCGTATGTTGGCTTACGATACGAAAAGAGGCATTTCCGAAAACGACATTACGATTCATATCATAAACGGAATCAATGATAGTGACATGAAAAAGAAAATATCGAACAACTACGCGAGGTGTTTGATTTGCTGAATGACATTAATAGCTATAACGTGTTCAACGAAGTGAAATTATCAACGCAATTTAAACCGAAATCGACACCGGTGACAAATGCTACTACCGTTCCGCGCAATACAAATATAAAGCCAACCGAAGTGTTATAACTGCTTGAAGATGGGTCACTACTCGATTAAGTGCCCAGAACCTCAAAAGAAACCTCGTTGTGCAAAGTGTCAGCGTACCAGTCACACAACTGAAAAGTGTCCGGAAAAGACAAATAATTCCGTTAGAGCTATTAGTCCGGATCTCGAGCCAGTAAAAACCTCTCACGCAGACGGTATCGTAAAACAAATCGCAGTAAATGGGTTGCTCACGAGTTCATTTATCGATCCGGGAAGTAGTCGTACTTTGATAAAACAAAGTTTCGCTAACAAAATTGGTTGCCCTACCCCATGCTCGGTAACGTTAAATGGGTTTGGGGGAGGAAAATTTACATGTGACGAAAAAGTAGACGCAATCATCGAAATAGACAAAGAGAAAATTGAAGCGGATGTTTTGGTAGTAACCGACAATTTGTTAAATGAAAATATTTTACTCGGAACGGATAGCTAGTGTAGAACCAGAAGTCGTCTCGTCATTGAAAACGGTTGTTGTCGCGTAGAGAACATTTTGAACATTCGTGAGTGCACCGTTCTTGATGAAAATGAAATTTTCAAACTCGAAAAACTCTTAAAGTCATATAGTGATGTGTTTGCTGAAAAAGCTGCGGATATCGGTCGCTGTAACGTTGCCAAAATTAAAATTCGAAAACGCCTGTTAATATGAAACCATATCGTATCCCATTTTCCAAAAGACCAATCGTGGCTGAAATCTTTAAAGATCTACTCGCGAACGAAATTATAATTGTTCTCGTGGATAAACAAAATGGTGAGCATCGTCTTTGCGTAGACTACAGATGTCTCAATAAAATCAGGAATCCGTAACCATTATTTTCCGAGCAAAAAATAAAACTCAAGAAATAACGATTATTTTCCGAGCAAAAAATAAAACTTAAAACGTAACGATTATTTTCCGAGCAAAAAATAAAACTTAAAACGTAACCATTATTTTCCGAGCAAAAAATAAAACTTAAAACGTAACCATTATTTTCCGAGCAAAAAATAAAACTTAAAACGTAACCATTATTTTCCGAGCAAACAATAAAACTCAAAACATAACGATTATTTTCTGAGTAAAAAACAAAACTCAAAGTATAATGATTAAACTTGATTTTTATAAGTAAAAATTAAAAAATAAAAATCAGTGCCGCTGAAGGTACTCCGAGTAATAAGAAATATATTGGTTTACTCCTTATGCACGTAGCATTCCTCTTTCCGCGTAATTTTTTGAGTTGAAATTTTAAAGGATAATCGTTATTTGCGGTCCCTGCTATAATCAACTTAAGTCATCGTTTTTATTACTTAAAAATGTGGTAAATTATAAGAAAATTGAACGAGTGCTTACCTATACAGTGTTTAAATCTAGTAGTCAAGGTTCAAAAGTGGCATATTATATTTCAAAAACAGTAATTTTGCTGCCTTTTCTCCTATGATGCGATTGCTTAGAGGATCGCTCGTTTTTCTTTAAGATAAGCCGTCAGTTGAGCTTTAGTTTCACATTTTTAATGACTCCAGATTCTAGACCCGAACCTTCGCATTCGCTGGAGGAATCTAAAACTAGTCCTAGGTTGCTTATAAGACTTTTATTTTAGCAGTCCTTGTTGAAGGCCCATCAATGTTGCTTGATATAGGAAAATCTTCAACTCTAAACAACGCACACTGTGCAGATTTGCATTGTATTGAGGTTTCCAAAACAGTATTGAAGCGAAGGCTTGATTTTATTATATACAAAAGCTTCAGACTTATTCCGCTAGGTATGTACTTGACAAAAAGCATGTATGTATATCTATATAATTACGGGTTAGTAAACACTTATATATACGTGCGGAGAGGATGACCGCTAGTTGACAACTTCGCCTAGCTGATGAATTTATTTTCTCCGTTTTCTCTCTCTTCGCCCTCGATTTACATGGATGCCAGAACGTGGCGACGGCTAACTCGGCCACAGAGAATGCCAGATGGTGGCGACAGCTTGCATAATAAATAACAGCGAATTGAACAGCGACAGCCAAGGCAATAGTTCGATCGAGTTCGAACACACACAAATAAATTATACATCAAATTGTTTGAAATCCTTTGAGGAAACATTAAATTGTTGTGTGATTCATTGTTCTCAAATGCTTAAGGAG